GGCCAGGTTTGGCATCTCTTTAACCTAATAACGCATTTACTTTGGATCGTGTTCAGCGAGTGCCTTATCCCCCGCTACAGCTGGGAGCGCTGCTTTGGCCTGCCCAGGATCAGCTCTGAACAGGGAAAAAGAGTGCGGTCTGAGTCACTGGTCTATGACAGTTTTTGTTGTTTGGGCTCTGTACTCCAGCACACTGAATTAGGAATGAAAATATAACTATGCAGTTAAAGTGCAGAATGTTAGCATATTTACATCTGCACAGGGTGCACCATAAGGATGTCACAATACGCAATATAATAACCATTTTATCATATACAACAAGCAGGCATAACATTATGACCACCTTCTTGTTTCTACGCTCATTGTCCATTTTATCAGCTCCCCTTACTATATAGGTGCACTTTGTAGTTCTACAGTTACAGACTGTAGTCCATCTGTTTCTCTGCATACTTTGTTAGCCCCCTTTTACCCTGTTCTTCAGTGGTCAGGACCTCCATGGACCCTCACAGAGCAGGTACTATTTGGGTGGTGGGTCATTCTCAGCACTGCAGTGACACTGACGTCATGGTTGTGTGTTAGTGTGTGTTGTGCTGGTACGAGTGGATCAGACAGCAGTGCTGCTGGAGTTTTTAAACACTGTGTCCACTCACTGTCCACTATATTAGACACTCCTACCTTGTTGGTCCACCTTGTAGATGTAAAGTCAGAGACGATAGCTCATCTGCTGCTGCACAGTTTGTGTTGGTCATCCTCTAGTCCTTCATCAGTGGTCACAGGACGCTGCCCACAGGACGCTGTTGGCTGGATATTTTTGGTTGGTGGACTATTCTCAGTCCAGCAGTGACAATGAGGTGTTTAAAAACTCCAGCAGCACTGCTGTGTCTGATCCACTCAGACCAGCGCAACACACACTAACACATCACCACTACATCTGTGTTACCGCAGTGCTGAGAATGATCCACCAACCAAATAGTACCTGCTCTGTGAGGGTCCATGGGGGTCCTGGCCACTGAAGAACAGGGTAAAAGGGGGCTAACAAAGTATACAGAGAAACAGATGGACTACAGTCTGTAACTGTAGAACTACAAAGTCCACCTATATAGTAAGTGGAGCTGATAAAATGGACAATGAGTGTAGAAACAAGGAGGTGGTCATAATGTTATGCCTGATCAGTGTATATAACCGTCATGTCAATATGTCACAGGTTGTGAATCAAATACACTTGGATTTCATGCTATAAAATGCGTAATAATACAAATGGTTTCCATCATACTGGTAGATCGACCAACTATTTCTTTGAATTTTCCATTCCACCTTAAGTGGAGCAGTTACATGTTACTGCTGTTTCATTTAAGGTGGAACAGAAAATTTTAATAAGAAGCTGGCAGATAAGAAGCCAACTTCAGTCTTGCGGAGAAAACATGAGCCTCAGCAGCAACAGAACACAGCGCCCCCTTTAGGGCTTACAGCTCACTTCATTAATGAGTACATGAGGTGCAATGAAGCCCTCGTTTGACTTCCAGCAAGTCCGGGACACCAAATGGCCTTTGACTCTCTTGGAAAGAGCGTTTTGACTGAGTAGCTGCCTGTGTTAAACGCGCCGGCTTTGATTCTGGAGTTCGCTCGCTGGAAGCAAAGCACAAGGCTCATCCATTAGTAAGAAATCCATCACGGGCTCTCTACTGCCCTTCCTGCAAGCGCCGGCCTGCACTCGGCTTTATCTTCCTTTGACAAGTGCAAGTGGTCTGAGGCTTTGTACTTCACTCACCCCCTCCCCATCCCATGGTTTAGGACGGTAGAGGCCAGGGTAACAGCTCTCGCCGGGAGCTAATGGGTGCCAAACACTTATCTCCTCCATCTCAGGTGGATATCATCTCAGCAGATTGATACAAATTTTAATTTTAAACAATTGAAGAAGTTTTAAAGGTGGGGAAGTGACATAGACAGATAGCAATGAAGCCCATTTTCAGGAGCTAGCAAGCTTAATGTCTGCAGTGTATAACTGCTTTGAAGGTGAAAATAAAAAAAACAGCTAATCGCATTATATGCAACACTTGTGGTTGAGTTAAGCTGGCTGACATTCATCAAAATACAATCTCTTACTATCCAATAACTAATAACTACAATGAAATATTCAGTAACTACTATATTATTTAGTATCTATGAAGAATGATCTACTAAGTACTATCTGTTAATCTGTTACGCAGTTGTGAAAGTGAGGAACTGAAGGATGGGTCCTAACCATACATTTCTATCAGCAGGCAACAAAGTTAGAGGAATCCAGTTATTTCTTACAGGAGTATGCATTTTGTAGCTGCGATTTAGTGGAAAGCGATGTGGCATCAAAGCAACAGGACAAATGTGTTCTGTGGAGTGATTAATCATGTTTCTCTCTCTGGCAGTCTGATGGACGAATGCCAGGAGAACATTACCTGCCTGACTGCACTGTGCCAACTGTAAAGTTTGGTGGAGGAGGGATAATGCTATGGGGTTGTTTTTCAGAGGCCCCTTAGTTCCAGTGAGGGAAATCCTAATGCTTCAGCAGAACAAGACGGTTTGGACAACTGCATACTTCCAACTTTGTGGGAACAGTTCAGGGAAGAACCTTTTCTGCTCCAGCATGACTGAGCCCCAGCGCTCAAAGCAAAGTCCATAAAGGCATGGTTGGGTGAGTTTGGTGTGGAAGAACTTGACTGGCCTTCACAGAGCCCTGAACTCAACCTCATCAAACACTTTTGGAATTACCTAGAATGGAGATCGTAAGCCAGGCCCTCTCATCCAACATCAGTGTCTGACCTCACAAATGCTCTTCTGGATTCTGGAATGTGCAGAAATTCCCACAGATACTCTCCAAAATCTTGTAGAAAGCTTCCCAGAAGAGTGGAAGCTGTTATAGCTGCAAAGGGGGACCAACTCCATATTAATGCCTATGGATTTAGAATGGGATGTCATTAAAACCGCTGTAGGTGTAATGTGTAGGTGTCCCAATTCTTTTGTCCATAAGTACATTTACCATCAACATTACATATAAAAACTCAAAAGACATGTGTAGGTTCACTGGTGGTATTGGATAGTAAATAAAATGGCTATATTTGTAGACACTTTGTCAGTGGGTTTCTATCACCACCGCTGTAAAGAAAGCCGAGTCAGCTTGTTTCTCTGCAATGAACCGTTTCACGTCATACCATCTCAAAGACAGAACAACAGAACATCCCGGTAGATTTGACTGCACATTAAGAGGATAACACCACGTCTATTGTGTGGTGAGAAAGCGGGCTCATCAGCTATTAAATGAATCACCTAGTCCTTTCTTTCAAAACAACCATGCTCCTCTGACATCATCACTCTCGGTGATAATGCTGAAGAAACAGCAACCTTTAACCTGCAACTTTGATCAAAGGGGCTAGGCAGACTTCCTGTCTCTCTCTCCCACTCTTTCTCTCTCTCTGTATGTGCCCTGGCTCGTTTAGATTTCGAGTCCTGCCTAAGGTCATCATGTGCACTCACACACATACACACACAGAGCATGTAACGTGCTAATCTGTCTCCTAGTGGCTAGCCTTTGATCTGTCAGATCTATTACACTGCTGATAATAAGCATTCACGAGTGTCTTTCTCTGGCCACTCACAGAAAACAAATGGAAGAGGAGATAAAGAGGGAGAGATGACATTTGGCAAAAGAGAGCAGCCTCTAGTGTATCAGCCCCCCGGTCCATCTCTGTCCACTTCTATCAGGACACCACTGAGTGACACAACACAGCCCCGCCATGTGCACCTGTTTTACTTGGATCATACCATCTTTCCCAGCCTGTGACAGCAACTGGCCACATTAGGGGGGGGTTCACACTAGACACGTTTTCACAGACCGATGTGCCTTGATTTTATGGGAGATGCTGTTTTTGCGTGTTGGGCACTTCGCCTTTTATGCACCTGAGTGCCTGTATTTTGTGCAAAAACCTGAGATGAAGTTCAACTCAATTTGTTCAAATGGCCTGCATTAGCTGGGCCTTCAGGGACAGGTCTAATGGAGGAGGGACTAGTGATTCCAGTTCTCCAGTTCTCCCTGTTCATACACAATAGCTAGTAATGGCTAACTGGAGAGCTAAAACTAGCTAAACTACTTGCTTGTTAATTATAGATAAGATAACAAAACATAAAACACTCACCTGAAATCTCAAATGCCAACCTGACAAGATGACCACTACTACCGCATTGGGCGGTATAACAGTAAAAAGGTATTCAGCAATATTTCATAATGAAGTCAGTATTTGAAAACTATTACTTCACTTTAAAATAATGACATGGCAAATTTCGATTCCACGTCTGAACAGCCAAACTCATTTCGTTTGCCATGATTACATGGTACTAGCACTAGGTAATATAAAAATACTTACTGTTAAGTATATTTAACGCTAAATAAAAAGCACTGCATTCATAATTTTCATATAGCGCTGCTGTCAGAACAAAATCTCGTATATCTCATTTTTTGTCGATTTTCAGTTTTTCACAATTTGAAAATACCTGTTGTCCTTTACATTGTATGTAAATTTCATGATGAACGGACCAAAAGAAACGGCCAAAAATGACTCGGAAAAAGTCTGGTTCCATTGACTTTCATTAAAAGTAAAGTAGGTTTTTCCTGTCTCCTGTCAAGTTACCATTTTGGAGATACAAGGTTTTGTTCCGACAGCAGTGATATAGTAGCAAGATGGTACAATTGGTGTCATATTACACACCTCTATGTGGTATATTACTGACATCCTAGTATTTGTTTTGTGTCCATCTGCTGTTGCTGAGTTGCAGAAGGTTTTACAGAATGCTATGCAAGTGAAATGTAGCTCCCTTTAAGATTCTAGCAACTAAAGCTGTATGAAAGTTTCATCATGTAAAGTCAGTCTTAAACCCAGTGGGCTTTTTTTAATACTTAAGGGCTGCTTGAGTTGTAAAAAAAAGGTTAGAGGGAGAGGGAAAAAAAGTAAAAGAGAAAGAGGGGTACATACCAAGAGAGTCTAACACAAACTGGTCCTGAGTGACAGCCAGGGGGGGCTGCACGCACACACTCAATTTGGGGCTCTGAACAGCGGAGCGAGCGCTTACTTTAATCTGAAGGAAAAGCAAAGAGAACAAAGTTTCATTAATTTTAAGTTAAATTCATCAATACAATTCTAAATGCATTGTAGTTTTCCACCTTTTTTCAATTATATTTTCCTACAGTACAACAGATGAGCAAAATTAAGAGCATAAACAGGGGTTTGTGTATGTGTGTACATCAGTACCTTGACTGTAACAGAAGGGACAGCCATGTCATTCATCTCCGGAATAAGGGCTTGCTGAGGAGAGAGAGAACATCATCAGTGCTACATATCTGTGTGTGCTGTGCTGATCACAGTCTGTTGAAAGTCACAGAATATCTGAAGAAAGGGGAATGTTACTACTATGTTTTATACTAAGGGGTGGATGTACACAGGAGCACATGTGAAAAGCAAAATGTGCCTTGATGCGACTGCAGTATGTGGCTTAGCACACAAACTGCAGGTAGTCCAGATTGCTAACCGCTCACTCATGAGGTGTGTGTGAGTTCAAAAGGCACAGTGAAATAATGGCGCCATCAGCAAGACAAACAAAACAGAAAATGACTCCTCAGTGAAGGAGAGAGTGGTGTTTATGAATACTTTTTTTCCACCAAAATTTTTTCCTCCAGCTGAGAAAACAGCAAAAAAAGGACTGTATGCACATATTGCAGCCGCATCACAGGATATTTTGTACAGAGTCTTCTAAAATACATACATCCAGAAAGTTTAAACAGTGCGATTCTAAGGGCAAACATTCTTTTAGGACGCGCTTGAGGCTCATGCCTCCATGTAATGCCCATGCATCAGACACAGTCCTACTTGGCCTGCGAACTTATTAATTTTCTATTGTTACTAGCTCGTTTTACCCTGAGATACACTACAGTCCCCTGCATGCACTGAAACAGAGTGTGTGTTCTGACCCCTTCCCCTACAACAATCTATGGGCCAGCGGTTACACAAAAACAAAAGATACCCGGATTATTTTTGAAGTATTAAGTGCCTATTTTGTTGTGGCAGTTTTGGTATATTTTGAATAAACAGTGGCCCATTCAGGTCATGGCAAAATGTTACGTAAAAATAAATAAAAAGACATCTGGCCCATGGATTTGCTGAGATTTTTTAATATGGCCCTTTTAGTGGTTGAGTTTGACACCCCTGGTTTACCGGCTGGGTCTACTGCCATTGTTAAAGGAAGTCTCTCAAGGCAGAAGAAAAACAACACAAAAACAGACACAGCAAGTTGGTCAAACTTTAGTAAATTGAGCGGAATGCTTTATTGGGTGCCCTTCTGACATCTTAACCTGTATTTTTGCATAATCTTTCCACATTTCGCATGGCTCTCCCTCAAATACATATGCATGAGGATGAGAAGTGCAAATGTTTTACTATGCACACAGTGCAAAAGGATGAGTGTATCAGGCCCATGTTCAAAAGTTTGTAGATACCTTGTCATTGAATGCTTCTTCTGAAATCAACTGAATTAATGAAGAGATTCCACCCCATTTGCTGCAGCAACAGCATCTGCTCTTTGCTGGGAAGATTTCAATGCATTCAGCAACAAAATCATTAGTGATGTCAGGTACTGATGTTGGATGATCAGTTCTGGACCTCAAACATCACTCTAACTCCAAAAAAGAATAGATGGAGCCAGGGGTAGACCTTACCTGATGCCCCTGGCACAACATTTCACAGCCTGAAGTCAGAGTGGCCACTTGCCTGAAAGATTTCGGTCTGTTTTTTTCTTCCTTTCAACAAATCTGCTTGGTCGAAACCGGAAGTCGGACAAATTAGAATTTGTTGAAATCATTAAAATCACCACATCGATAACCAGTGTGATGGTGTGGTGATTCTGGTGGTTGAGCTGGTCTACCTTGCGTCATTGATGCTGTTCCATTATACAAGCTTTATTATACTATTAGGAATGCATTGTTTACAACAATAGCTTTAGCAGATCACTGGATGAGGTGTTTGTCATTTTTCACAATATCAGAAGCTTTTCAACAGAACCATTTCTGTATGTATATAAAAAAAGGTTAAGAGTGGATGTGTCCAATAATGTCTAAAAGATAGAAGGGAAAGGTACCGAGACGTCGTCCAGGCTGGAAGAGACAATGGCTGTCACTGTCAGATCATCCTCTGCTTCAGCTTTGGGGATGATGTCTGCAGAGAGAGAGAGAGAGAGAGAGAAGACAGTAAGCCTTTATGAAGGCCTCTATAAGAAAGATATGAACTCAAAGTCAACATGACAAAACATCAAAAATAATATTGCATTTTCATTCCATAATGTCACATAAGAGTGAGCCACAGTATCAACAAGAATCTATGAGCTAGCTGAGCATTGCCAATAGATGGTGGTGGTGGGAGGAGAACATGGAACATGACATTATTCAGATATGACAACTCATGAACAGTGAAACAGCTGACAAGTTCAGAAACTAACTCCCCGTCTTGGAGTCTGGTATCATTGTTCCTAGGAAAAAAATTTAACATCATCCTAATGTAGTCTAACAATAAAATACAGGGTAACTGTGGTGAAATTATTTAGTTCACCAAGTTCAGCAACTGCACAAATACAAGTCAAAATATTGTACTATCTTCTAGGTATTTTGATTTATTTGTTGCTTATCATAGCAAGGTGAAAGGTTTTGTGTGTACAAAAGATCCTTTTGAGACCCCACACTTATTATAAACAGAGGTCATGCTAAAAACCCATAATTTGTGTTCAACTGGCTCCATAAGACACATAGTGCTTGGACCCTGATGACTGCCACTTGTGATATATATGGTGATTTAGCTATTATATCAGTTAAGACAGTAAATAGAAAAAAACATGTTCTACATCAGTTAAATGGAAGTTGATGCTAACATACTCTTTTCTGTGCTGTATTTGGGGGAAGAGGAAGGATTCCCTATGAGAATTCTCTGCTGGCACTAGACTTCACCCCTTTCTTAAATTATAAACTTTTCAAATCTATGTGATTCACATGAGTGGCATATTCATATTGCTAAAAGGCGACAAGATTGCATGTGTGATTACTGGTTGTCTTTTAAATCAGGAGTTTTCAACCTTTTCCACCCCAAGGCCCACCTATTTATAATCACAAATCACAGCGGCCCACAGAAAAACTAAAATCAACTTTTTAAAAAAAGTTTCCTTTTTGTTCTTAATTGCTCAAACGGAAAACCTGTGAATCAGGGCCTGAAAAAGATCAGATCGTCCATTTTACTTAAAATTTGCAGTTATGTTAAAAAACATAACAGGTTAAAAAACATATGTTTGCAGAGGTGTCAAAAGGGGCATAGATGTGGACTGTGATTTGGAGCTGCAGTTCATCATGTTTTCACTATAAATACTCTTGTGGCTCCCACAGGAGTGACTGTTTGGTTTCGAGATGGGTTTTAGCACCTCATTTAAAATGAACCACACTCCACTCTCTAGGCCTTTGGATTAGCATCGTCACAATAAACAATAATAATAAACCCTACTTGATATCTGCTTCTTTTTTTATTAGTTTATCAACTTGAATTTAACTATGCAGGTTGCTGATGCTCAGCCAAAAATCAAACACATCTCTTTGCTATTATTTTATGGCTTGTCTGTCGTTTTTTAACAGCTGCAGGTGCTGCAGGAACTTTATGAGAGCAATGAGAGTCTGTAAAGAGTCAGACATTAAAACAGGCAGATGATAGTGACAATATACAGCGCTGACATGCTGTTGGAAGAGGAGGAGAGCCAGCTCTATTGACGAATTCCCTCGTTTCACCATAAAATGCGTTCCCATCAGCAATGAACTGAACAGTGTTTGGTTGGAAGCGGACCAAGACCCTCAGTTTTGCTGGACCAGTTCAGCTATTTGTTGCAGACCCAAATACGGGTGGAGTGTTCACACAAAAGTTTGATAGGTCCGCATCAAACAAGGTAGGAGAAAGCGGCTTGAGAAACTTCTCCATCTCTGGCTAACTGTCTGCACTGTGTGCCCATGGCTGCGTTGTCTCTAAGGCTACGTTCACATTACCAGGTTGAAGTGGCACAGATCAGATTTTTTGCCCTAATGTGACTCAGATATGATGTTTTCAGGATTGTGTGGACACGCAAATCTAAGCTTTTCAAATCCGTGCTGAGCCACTTTCATATGTGGTCCTAGATTGGATACGTATCCAATTCATGGCCATGTGACCTTAATGTGAAGCTCAGATCGTAATTCATGTGCTTTTTTTCCACTGCGCATGCGCCATCATTCAGCGTTACTATGGCAGCAGTGCAGAACAGAAGACAAAGCCTGTAAACGGTGGAAAAACAACACACTCACCTTTTTCTCCTTTGTCTCGCTCTAATAATGAAGCTGAGAGCTGATCAGAGTTAATTATCTTCTCAGCAAAGGCTCGTTCTGCTCCATAGTTTATTTGCTGATGATGCACGTGATTCATTCACTTACCTAAACAAGTGTGAACCATCATGTCAGAGAGATCGTATTTGAGCAAAAAATCGGATTTGAGCAATGAGGCTTGTAATGTGAACATAGCCTAACTGATATTGTGTCATTAGCCTGCGACTGCGGTGTTATTTATACGTCTCTACCAGCCCACCACGAACTACTGCCTCCCCCTGGGTACAGGCCAGAGTACAGGCTAGCAAGTACTTCACGGCCCACTGGTTGACCAGAGACATGAACTAGCAAGGTGAAAAAGTCAGTTGCGATTCTAGGTTGATTTTAAGATTTGAGTGTACTATAAAAGACAACCAAAGCTCAATCAATTATTCAATAACAAGAAAAATCTGCCAAAAAAAATGGCCACAACATTTCATGATTCAGAGCATCCCAGCTTTAAAATGGTGCCAAAAAGCGCTCCTTGGAGCAACGCAACTGAAGAAACACTTCTGGTTCCCTAAAGGTTGTAAACATCTGGCCTAGAATGTTCTTTAGGTTTCTTAGGCCCAGAACCTAAAGAACCATGTAAAGAACAAGTGTGAAGAACCTTTACATTCTGTGGAGGCTCTCTACATTTTAAAACTTGTCACTTGCAAAAAAGGTTCTTCAAAGAAACATCAGTTGGAAGGTTGTCCAGGGAACCAAAAGTCATTCTTACAATATCGCTTCAAAGAACGCTTTTTTGGCACCTTTATTTAAAGAAACTAATAGAGCGAGAGACAGAAACAGTGAGGCAGATACAGAGAGAAGGACAGAGACGGCGCAAAAGAGAGAGAAGGGAGAGAGGCACTGATAAAGTGAGACAGATTCAGACAGATCCAACACCCTCCAACATAACGGCTCTTTCTTCATCATCAGATCTATTACAGCTCCCCCAAACTGCACCAGGCACTACCATGAAAACATCCAGTCCATAACCGTCCAGATAACGGCACTGATTTATGCAATGAAGACTCGCCCTGGCCGCTTCCTCGCATAGCTGATGTCCATTTCACAATGCGCGCTCGTAAAACAGGAGAGTGAATTTCTTTCACCTTCGCCTCCCTCTGCGGGACACCGAGGCTCTGTTCTTACCCACAAAGCCCCCAGTCTCCAGCCCCGCTGAGGGTTAAACTAGGTCAGCGCCAGGCCTTGAATCTGCCATCAACATTGTTATTACAGAAAACATGTATGTTAAAGGCTTAAGTCTAAGTCGCAGAAGTTTCTTGTGATCAGTTGCTGCCATCATATGCAAAATAAAAAAAAATCCTGTCAGTTCTTTTCCTGAACATTGTCCAGCCCAGTGCCAACAGTAAAAACTTGTGTCTATAATAGAATGTTGTCATTTAGGGGTATAAATTCCATAATCAACAGAATTGGTGATAATTGATTATAAAAATACTATATAAAGTACACTACACTACTGTGTATACCAGCGTTTCCGTAACATCCATTTTTAGTTTTTTTATTTTTCCCTGTGACCCACGTTATATGTTTAAGTACCAAAAAGAGTCATAATTCATTTTTACACAACCATTTTCCAACCTCTCTTTATCCTATAAAATTAAACAGGCTGTTTTGTTACTGCACCGTGACTCAGAAAGATAAGCGGTTTAGATGATGTATATGTTTGTGTGTGTGTGTGTTTTGTTACTGTGCCTTTAAGACTGATACCTGTAAATGACCTATATTCTGATTGGCTGCCCTGTACTGTGGCATACTTAAAAAGCAGCCCAGGCTGACACACTCTCTATAACTTCAGCATGAATGGGAGGGGCAAAGTTGTTCTAGAACCCATGTGTCGAACACAAGGCCCACGGGCCAGACAGGATTGCATCGTGGCCCCTTGCAAAAGTATTTTATTTTTCTATTAATATTAGCCTGTTTCACAATGCGCTGCACTACAGCATGCACTGCAACATAATGACTCTCCTACCCCAACAACAATCCATGGGACAGCGGTTACACATAAATTCTACACAACTCCACGCAATTCCACACCAGTTATATCACAAAACACACTAGCCGCATTTTAACTGCAGTTCAACCAACATAAACACTTAATGTTTGCTCAGCAGTTTTGAAACTGAGCCCAGGAATTAATAAACTTGCAGCAAAGAAAAGATACCAGGTGTCTAGTTCAAGCAAATCTGTAGGTTTAAAAGACTGAGCTCCTGGGGACACTTACATTGTGAATACTTTAAGTATTCAAGTAATATTTCAAGGTCTATTACAAGTGCTTATATTTTGCTGTTGACAATCTGGTGTATTTTGAATAAACAATGGCCCGTTTGGGTTATGGTAAAATGATACAGGTGTTCTCCGGCCCACCGATTTGTTGAGATTTTTTAATATGGCCCCTTTAGTGTTGAGTTTGACACCCCGGTTCTAGATTGAATGAGTATATATACGTAAATGTGTTGGTTTCCATTACATCAGAAAAACAAATAATTTTTGCAGATTAGTGTCAATTTCAAAGTTTATATTAAAGTAGTGAGGAATATTCAGTTTTCCATGATATGAGCTCTTTAAAATATGGGTTACAACTCTATTTGGATTACAGATGTCTTTGTGCTGCATCGCCACATAATGAGGAATGAGTGTCAGCATGTTTGGCCGAGTGAGAAATGTGTGGTGAGTTAAAGGCTTTTTCACATCAAGTCAGATTGAGCTTTTTTTATTTTTTTGTATTTGTTAAATCTACCAATATTACAAAATAATATTACAAAACAATCAATTTTAATTGTGTGAATGGATTACATGAACTGTTTCCTAAAGGATTGAATCTGTGTGAATTCAAAGATTTACACTTCTACTGTCAGTGTGTTTTAGACCTACCCTGGTTCTTGGTGGCTTCGCGAATGACCTTGTGCAGAGCCTTCATCTCTGTGTCCACCTCATCATAGTTGACCTCCCGAGCGTCCACTTTAGGTGCATTGAAGAAAGAGGGGTCAGTGCCCATGTAGGAGCACTGCAGATGACCCTCTGAGCTCAGTGTCACCACCAAACCCTTTAGTTCCCTAAAAACAATCAGAGTGACACAGAGAAGGACATCAAAGATAAGAAGCAAAGCAAGTACAAATTACAGCATTTCATCTTGACCTTGAAACCTTGACCTTGGGCTATGTTGCTTTTATTTCCGTTTTGTTTTTTTTTACTGTTTTTATCTTTTTCATGTAATTTTCTACAGTTATTAATGTATTTTTGGCACAGTTCTGGTACATAGTTACATAATGAATTACATTTATATTCATGTTTTCTGTATTGACAGGTTTAGTCTACGCTAATGATTTTTTCCATTTTGATTCATCCAAAATGTCAAAAGCAAAGTGATTTTTCTTTCTCCAAAACAAGAGAAATCTTCATACAAATCAATAAAATTATATCATACACCGATCAGGCATAACATTATGACCACCTCCTTGTTTCTAGTGGGTCAGACACAGCAGTGCTGCTGGAGTTTTTAAACACCTCAGTGTCACTGCTGGACTAAGAATAGTCCACCAACCAAAAATATCCAGCCAACAGTGTCCTGTGGGCAGCGTCCTGTGACCACTGATGAAGAACTAGAGGATGACCAACACAAACAGTGCAGCAGCAGATGAGCTATCGTCTCTGACTTTACATCTACAAGGTGGACTGACAAGTTAGGAGTGTCTAATAGAGTGGACAGAGAGTGAACACAGTGTTTAAAAACTCCAGCAGCACTGCTGTGTCTGATCCACTCGTACCAGCGCAACACACATTAACACACCACCATCATGTCAGTGTTGCTGCAGAGCTGAGAATGATCCACCACTCAAATAATACCTGCTCTGTGGGGGTCCTGTGGAGGTCCTGACCATTGAAGAGCAGGGTAACAAAGCATGTAGAGAAACAGATGGACTACAGTCTGTAATTGTAGAACTACAAAGTGCACCTATATAGTAAGTGGAGCTGATAAAATGGACAGTAAGCATAGAAGCAAGGTGGTGGTCATAATGTTATGCCTGATCGGTGTACATTCCACATATTACAATATTTAGCTGTAATATATATTCAATAAAATCTCCTCATTCACTTAGAAACTCAAATATGGTGTGGACCAAACATTTTTAATCTGCATTTTTGACAGAATTTGTCCATTTCTTTTAATAAGTTATGCGTCAGAAAGGCGTTTCAAGGCGTACAAGCCTTTGGGGACTTAAAAGTGAGAACAAAAATAAAGGGAAATACATTCAGTGCAGCAGAACACTAGATACTGAGGGCTTGGTGACCTAGAGGGTGTGAGTTGCTCATTTACACAGAAAGAGGTGTGGGGGGCTTTGAGGACAGGCTCTGAGTGTGACGGAAGGTTTTGAGAGGTGAGAAGACTCTGGTAGAGTCACTGATCTCAGAGCTGCATTGTTAGTGAAGAGGCAGAGTGCATGAATAAACTGTACGGTTCTGTACAGGCTCAGGGTCAGCAGAGGTGCTAACTGGAAACAGATGGTGTTGAGTTTTCAGGCCAGTAAGACTGTAAGTCTGGCTCAGGGAGACCCAGCACAGCGGCTGCACCTGTAAAGGGGGTTCCTTTTGTTGTTAAAACCCCATACACCCCACGCTTGAGGCCCCTGGTCCCCTACTTTCCACAGGCTCTACTGATATTATAGTCACCATTAATATAGATTATAGTTTTAGTTTTATTGATGGATAACGAAAACATTGTCCATTGCAATGTATACTTTTGCGCTACAGACAAAAAAAACAAACAAAAAAAACATTGGTAGACCAACGACAAACATGACACAGACCAATGGCCATCCTATTTACAGGCCTAAAAGGCAATAAAATAAATAAATACATACAAACATACAGACACACATAAAACTACATGAATGGTAAGTTTTTATTCTGGAAATGTTTAAAATGCTGTCTTAAAATTCCCATTTGGGAAATGTGTACATATCATTTGGTACTGTTATGCAGTGAAATACGGAAACTATAATGATACTGAATTTTATCAATTGTGCTCAGCGCTGATGTTATCCCCTTCAGCCAAATAGCCCCTACTTTTCACTAACATTGGTGACCTCTACACTTGTCTAAACTGCTGATGGTCAGAGCTCACCTTATATTTCACTTTAACCACTTTCACCATTAGGCCTGTCATGATCATGTAGTTTTAGTTGACGATTAATTGTATAAGGACCATTCTACAGAATTAGTTCACACCGTGGTCCCACATTAAAACATTAAAAAACAACAATTACGGATTCAGCCTCTAGGTATTTACAAGGATTATGTTATAATATATTTAAACCCACTGCATGAATTGAGATAGTAATCAACTAAACATACACAAAATCATCATTTATAGTGTACTTTCTATTGGGAGGTGTCAGTTTACATTTTTTGATGTTGTTTTTTAAATATAACTTTTGGATTAAAACTTTAAAGTGAAGTTGAAAGATTTAGACTGATCATGAGTTAAATTTTTCAATGGAAAAAACTTTATTCCAAAAATTAAGCAAACGTTTGTGTTTTAATGAAAAATATGATGATTTTATTTATGTATAACTGTTCAAAGCTGTGTTTGCAAATCATGTTCTGCTCAAAATGAGCTATAAATTTTCACTCTTGAAACAGTCACCACTGAAATATTTGGTTTTGGTAGTGTTACGATTTTGTCAGTGACAAAATGGAATGTTCTGTCATTTGTTTTAATAAAATAAATATTAAATAAAGTACCGGGTCACTCAAAGCAAAAGGACTTTAGTCCAGCTCAGTTAAAAGTCTTAAATGTGTTTTCAAGTCTGAGTTTGAACCAATTCAATAAAATGATCCATAAACAATTGAAAGCAACAGTTTAATTGGCTCAAATAAACAACGATTCTGTAAGACCAGTGACACGTCTTTCATCATTAACACTGCATAAAAAAAAAATTTAAAATGTGTTGGTTACCACAACCATTATAAAGAAAATCTGTTAAGTTGATCTAAAATAGGCTTTTTACATTAAACCACACAGAGTTAGTTTTGACTTAGTTTTGCTAACAATACATTTCCATTACTAGTTAGCTACATTAGCCTTGTAGCTTTAGCGCAAAACTAAAAAAGCAAACTTCAGACAGCAAGCATATTTTGACTGACTACACTTGGAGTCAGAGGGAAACAGTGGAAAATTGATATTTCTCCAAACAATTTCTTTAAGGCTGAATTCACCAAGTAAAGACCGCTCTTTGGAGAATTCTCGCAAATTTCATTGAACGCAGGTGTCACAATACACGAAACCATCCCATTCACATCAGCATTTTTGGGCTAAAACACGGCAGGAAATGGATCGAAGGCCATGTGTGAAAAGTGCTGGATGAGCACACGGCACCAAGCGACTTGTTCAACATGAGAGCACCTCATTTTTCCAAGCAAAAATCCGAGCCAAAGCAAACAGAATCACACCCACAGTAATGTCTATTGACTTTCTCTCCAGCGGTTCATCCTCACCCGATCCCCAGCGCACTGCTGACTGCTGCTCCTCCACATTTTGAAAGAGGCTTTTTCGGGGGCAGAAAAAAGCAGTGTGGATTTATCAGTGTGGTTTTGCAAAAGCATTCAGACCATACTTGTAACATGTAATATGTCCAAGCTTGTAATTTTTTTTACTGTATTATTTTATTTTATATACATGTGCTAGTGGTGGAATTTAACAAATCCATGCAATGGCTGGAGACATCTAGCACGTATCTTTTGCCAAACTTTGTTTTTAACTAGCTCTAACAAGTACTTTTTTTCCAAGATAAGAAATGTGTGTTATTTTTATTGTATTTATGTTTATTTGGATCTATTTTAATATATATGGTGTTTTTACAAACACACTACTTTAAATTTCATTCAAAATATGCTGAATCATGAAGTAAATTTTTTTAGGGATAAAATTATTATGAGCAAACTAGCATATTGTATAAATACTCAAGGAGATGAACCAAATATTTGGCAAGTGTAGCCAATATTTTATTTTGGACTGACCTACCAGTTTCGTACATGGACTGTTTTTCACGAAATCTTCATTCTTTTTGATACATTATCAAATGTAAGCACTGTTAAGTTCTCTAGCTATCAGTGATGGTCTCACAGCGGCACTACCACCTGGTCTGGCAACCCAAGTTGATTGGACAATGTGATATAAAGATTACATGATATTCTTTCCTTTTCTTGATTACAGAGCACATATGTGCAGAGAAATGTTCAGAGACTGACACTTGTACTTCCTGATCTGTGCAATAACTTTGTCTCCGACTTTAATAAGTTTAATTAATAAGTAAGATTTGTCAGAGCGAAAGGGCCTGAAAACTCACGCACTGCTAATCTTTAGACTACCATTAAAAGACAGTGTTTGTCAATAATTTAAAAGGAATCTGGTTGCAGATAAACGTATAGAAATGATTCTAATATGCTAGACTTATGCAACTTTACAGTACAATTAGAAAGCTATGAGAAAATAAATAAATGAATAAAACAATAATAATAATAATAATAATAATAAAATAATAATGTGTTCAATGTGATAAATGTAGATGTATTATTCATAATCCTTCAGGATGCTTCATTTTTGAAAAGTGCTGATCAAAATCTGAAAAATAGACAGTTAAAGCATATTATTTATCATTTACTTACTTCCTTAAGTATTGACCAAACCATCTAAAAATACACTTTGATATCTAGTTTATACTATTATTACAGAACATAAATTAACAGTCACTGTAGTTATTACACAGTTTACACAGTATTGCACATTTACAATAACATTTCATTTCATTTACAATTGTTCTCATGTACTTCTCTGTGATATTTCAGGCTAGACGTTTTACAGAATGGGATTGCATTAGTTCTTTTAGAGCATTTTCTGCTGGTGCTGGATCAACACCAGTACTGTGTATCAGATTAGTGCCATCTCTACCTTTTACCCATGGAAATCTACTCTGCACCACGTTTTGTATTAAAAGTACATTTAAAATTGTTTTATATCTTGCAGAATCTTTACAAACTTCACAGGTAGGATCTG